TTTATAACTTTGTTAAATTTCTTCTGATTTTAATTTGTAAGTAAAATTTTATTATTTTTATTAATCATGAATTGCAAAAAGGCAAATGAAAAGCAACAGAAAACTAAAAAAAAATGACTAGAATCACAATGGAACTGATAAAAGAGATTGTTGAGGAATAAGAAGGTGGTACTCGTAAGCTACGCTGTTGCATACCGTATTCCGAGAACGACGATATCGACAATCGCGAAAAATAAAGACATTATTAAATCTGCTAACATTGGGAAAGGAGTTAAATCAATTTCTAAACAGAGATCGAAGACATTAGATCATGTTGAGAAATTGCTTTTGCTTTGGATAACTGAAAAATAGTGTGCTGGCGACATCGTATCGGAAGCAATTATTTGCGAGAAAGCTAAAAAGATACATGCTGATCTCATGAAAAATCAAGCAAGAACTAGCCAGGAAGCGAGGTATTTAAAGCCAGCCATTTTTTTCATGAGAACGGATTAATCATTTTTACATTACTTCTTATGGGAAAGATTGATTTGGTATACGTCCTATTCGGTATAAGTCCAAACATTAAGAACGGGTTAAGGTCGTATACCGAGATTCCACTGTATTTTGTAAAGTAATATTGTATAATTTACAATAAAATTTTAAAAATCGGTATATTTTATAACAAAACAATCATTATTTGTATAGTTACACGAAACACACGCCTGTAGACTTCGCAAATAAATTTAAACTTATTTTAAAAGAAAACTATTTTTACATAAGTTTAAAATATTTAACATAAAATAAATATTTATCTCGAATTATGCTTGCAGTTGGGGAGTGGATGAAACCGCTGAACACTGGTAGTATCCTCGCCAACGGACTGGCCATGTGAAGTTCTCTGTATTTTCTTAATATTAATAATAAAATATCTGAATTTTTCCTAAAGATACATGTTAAAACAATTGAAAGAAAAGATATTTTAAATCGTAGGACATTGTAAAATAATTTGTTTGCTAGGTAAAGCGGGATAATGATATCAAAACATGGAAGAGATTTAAAACTCAAATCCAGGGCGGATTTTTGTTGAATTTTGCGTTCGAACACTAAAGCATTCGAAATTAGAATGGTTTGAAGTATAAAGTACCCCCGTTTTGGGACCGAACAAAGAGTGATTTGACGTCATTCGCCAATTACAGTTTACAAAAAGGCAATGCAGAACGACGACAGAAGACTATTCTAAAAGCCTTGTTTACTTATCCTCTTCCAGTCGCTACGGAAGATGCTTTCGGAAATAGGAACAAATAATCGCGATATTCTCTGCAGCTGTCACGTGTCTTTCCAACAGGAATACGTGGTTCAGTAGGTCGTTCCATGAAAATAGAGGGATATTGGATCTTATTTAGGTGTTACTAACGTGAAGGAAACCTGAAAAACGTCACGCATAGAGAGGCGCGAAACCACGACAGACTTCAGTAGTTTTATCCACTGGGCCACTGATATATCTCCAGAATGTCCATGCTGACGAATGAGGAAATAAAACAAGCTTTTAGGGTGACAGTTACTCATCTTGTGTGCATTGAAGTTGTCCACGATACAGTAATTAAGCAGTGAAATGAAATACATCACCAATGCTCCCTTAATGTAAATTGCAAATTGTTTTCCCATTTCTTGGAATAAGACAATACGAAACTTTTAATTAATAAAGTTTATTTTTAAAAATATATTTGTGTAAAAACAAATATATAAATAAACTGTATAATAAATTCATTTCAATAAAAACTAAAAAAGATCAATATATTCCAGCAGTGTCCACTACAAAAATTATTCACATATTTTGTGTATATTAGTTTACTCTGCTGTCTGCAGAGTAAACTAATATACACAAAATATGTGAATAATTTAACACATCTGTGCATATTTTACAAAAATATCATGCATCTTTTCTCTATTTTGCATCTTCTAAACATTAACATTTATTTTTCCTCTTCTTCCTCATTAACTTCTTTCCTTTGCTCCCCTTCATCTGGAAAATAACAACAATGTTATATTTTTAAATTTGCAAGAATTAGAGAATTTGTATCTTTATAATACAAAATGAAATTTATATACCAATTCTCAAATGTGACATCTTTTCTATAAGATTATCAATTTCATTGCTGTTGTTGTTGTTGTCATAAGGAGCACCACAATAGCTTTGATTGTCACAACAATATTCCAATAACCTATGTATAAAAATCAATTATTATTAATTTAATGACCTACTTTATACATATTTAGCAAAAATTATTTAAAAAGTAAATATTAACCTGTTCCAATTTTTATCCTTTGATAAGTTGAAAGGGTTACCGACGATTATTAATAGTGCTTTTGCTCTTGTTACTGCTACATTGAATCTCTGAAATATACAAAAGAAATGTATATTTTTTAATCCAATCTTTAAATTTAATTAATTAAATTTACTTTAGGTTCTTTCAGAAATCCAAGTTTAAATTTATGATTTTTGGCAAGATCGGAATTGCTGCGGACGGTGGAAATGATGATTGCTTTCCTTTCTTGCCCTTGAAATTCTTCCACGGATCCAACAGAAATATCATCACAGCTTGCATTTAATTTCAGTTCGTTTTTGATTTTATCAACCTAAATTTAACTCGTAAAATACGCTGTTGCATACCGTATTCCGAGAACGACGATATCGACAATCGCGAAAAATAAAGACATTATTAAATCTGCTAACATTGGGAAAGGAGTTAAATCAATTTCTAAACAGAGATCGAAGACATTAGATCATGTTGAGAAATTGCTTTTGCTTTGGATAACTGAAAAACAGTGTGCTAGCGACATCGTATCGGAAGCAATTATTTGCGAGAAAGCTAAAAAGATACATGNATTAATAAAATTTACTTTAGGTTCTCTCAGAAATCCAAGTTTAAATTTATCATCTATGGCGAGAAGATCAGTATTGCTGCGGACAGTCGAAATAATGATTACTTTCCTTTCTTGCCCTTGAAATTCTTCCACGGATCCAACAGAAATGTCATTGCAGTTTTTAGTTAATTTCAATTCGTTTCTTATTTTATCAACCTAAATTTATTAAATAATTATGTTAATTTTGTTATATTCATTTCCAGCTGTATAAATATAACTAAATTAATTTTCACCTGTTTCCTATAAGGTGATATAATTCCTATATCTTTTGGAGACAAATTAAGATCTCCTGTAGACTCGAGTAACTTTTCAATGTAATCCATAACAACTGAAATTTCTTCGGGATTAAAATACGACGGACTGTTTGGCTCTCTCTTATCTTGACTGATGACACCATGAAATATAATTGGGAAACCTTTTGATGGTAAATACGTCCAATTGCAGAATAAATCGCACACAGTTTTGTCTGCACATGCCTGGAAAAAAAAAGCAAATTCACATCTTTAATTAAATTCTTCGTGATAATCATTATTATTATTATAGTCTCTACCTAAATTATTCTGGTAGATGAGCATTATTTACAGATTAGATGATCTGATGATCTGGGATTGAATCCAGGCAAGCAACCACCGATTTTTCATATGCAGTCTGTTTGAGATATGTCAAGTACAGTAGACCCCCTATAACACTGTAGATAATTCCGTGTTATATGAATTCCATGTTGTACGAGTCACTTAGATTTTACAAATACGTGTGCCGGGCTGTGAACGGCTCAAGTATTTATAAAATCTAAGTGATTCGTACAACATGGAATTCATATAACACGGAATTATCTACAGTGTTATAGGGGAGTCTAAATACCATCCTTCACTACTCAGCTGTCCCCATTGTGGGACTGCTGAATCCACAATAGGTATGGAAAAGATACCCACAGAGTTTTACAAAAATGCTAATTAATTTGTTAAATTAATTAAATCTCTTACCTGCAATTCGTTGTCGTAAAACAACTCATTTGGAAGTTTCAATATGGATGGATGACTTCGATAATTTTTTAATAATTTTGTAAGTACTTGTTTGTTGTACACATTTTCTTTACGTCCATACACTTGTTCTATATTCATCAGGCGTTCCAAAAGTGACAAACCTATTTAAAAGAAAACATTATATACTTCTAATAAATAAAATGAAAGTAAACATTAAAAATAATTACCCAAACCATATTTAGTGGCTAATTTTGATATCACAACAGGTCCTAACTGTTTTGGATCTCCTGCAAGAATCAGGTGACTACCTTTAGGATTATCAATTGAACTCTTTATTAAGCCAGATATTGGAATAATTGTTTCTGGTTCAGAAGAATTTCCAGCTTCGTCAATAAATATATGAGTGAAATGATTGCAGGGAACAGCAGCAGATAATAATCTGAAAATTAGATTATGAAATATTTAATCCTTTCAAATTCAAATTTGATTTCTTATTGAATTATAAATTGGTTAAGCAAGAATTAATGATATCCATATAAAAAGTATATTTGTACTATAATTGGGATAAAATTAGATTTAAACTAAAATATATATAATAATTAATAGGTGAACATGCTGTACTAAGGCAGTAAATGAGGCAAAATGCCATAATATCATTTTAACAGTGATTTATTTAGAAGAAATAATTAAGGCTCATCCATGCATAAGAAGAAATAAATAATGCCATAAGTCTTTATTACATTAATGCAATCTTAATGAAACAAAGTGTTTTGGATAATCTGCTGTGTTGTATAGTATATTAAGAAAATGTTCATATGTAATTATAAAGTTGTCCACAGCTAAAAGTTTTACTTGTTATTAATTATTATAATTCTGTCAATGTTTTAATGGTTTTTTTTAAATGTATAAGTCTTGTAATATTTTTTAAAAATTATTTGTCTTATATTTAAAAGATGTTTACATAACTGATGAGGTCATTAACACCAAAAGGCTACAATGCATATTAGTAGACATATAAGGCATTAACAGTTTCTTGTGTGTGATAGTACTTTATTTATTTAGAAGGGTTATGTATGTGTGAAAGGTATATTTGTATATATATTATAAAAAGAGATTAAAAACTGATATAAAAATTAATGATGTCAATATTTTTAATTATTGGATTAATAATTTAATTTAAAATAAGTAATTAAATAAGTGTTTTTATGCAGCAGGCCTAATACTCAGCTTAACTGTATTTTATTTTGTCACTTCCAGTATTTTTTTCAAAAAACATGTTGTTTATCCATTAGCAAATGGCATTATCAATGACTATTAATTTCTTTGATTAACACTAAACAACTTGATGAATTTGTTTCTATTAAAAAATAATAAAACTGGAAGTTGAGGATAAAAAATGCTGTTTTAGAAGTCATTTCCATTAAATAAAAATTTGTTGACACACAATTATTCTTTACTTAGGATATGTTTTTTAAATTAAACTTTTATCTTGCATTGTAATGAGAAATACTAAAACCACCTATGAATTTCTCAGTATAATTTTTTAGGAAAGATAAGTAATTGACAAGCAAAGCATCTAAATATATTTTCATAGTTTTACTATTTGTTATTAATACATTTACAAAAAAGGAATAAGTTTAAATTTTCTTCTATAATAATAAACAAGTTTGAGACCACTTCAAAAAACATTTCTTTAATATGAAACATACAGACTTTATTTAAGCTAACTAATTTACATTTCCTACTTTGTTTATTTCAAAATAGTTGCTAATAAAACATTAACTAATTATAAACAAAAAAATTAAAATATCATCAGGATAGAAAATCAGAATGCAAAATTACTAAAACAGATCAAGGACATTTTTCATGATTATTCAAAAGATTTTGACAATAATGGAAAAAAAATAATATACAGAACAGTCATCTAGGTCAGTGTTCTTCAACCTTTTTCTACCCATGACACAATACTGCACACCAAAATGTTATTCCCCTCAAAAAAGCATGATATAATACTATTAATAGAATTACATAATTTCACCAACCTATTATTATATATATTTATTGTGTAAAAACTAATTATTTTAATTTATTTGAAAAATACCTATGTAAAATTTTTTTTTCATGCAAGTTAACCTTACACCAGTCAAATTTATATATGCACAGTAGTTAAATATATAGTAAAAAAAAAGAAATTATGTTTAAACATAGTTTTGTGGAGGCCCTGGGCACTGCCCTTATGTAAATCCGGCACTGACNTGTGGCTTGTAAAGACTAAACAAGCATCATCTTATTCATGAGTGCTGCGACAGAAAATGAAATACAAGCATAAGAAACACAACAACTGTGATAAAAATATATAAATAAAACTTGAAATAAACAGAATATGTAAAAGTTCACATCACACCTTTCATCATGTGACAGCACACTGGTTACAGAACACTGATCTAGGTTATCTTCTAGGGATAAATGATTTTGAGATGTGCAAGCACCAAAAATTAGTCTGCTACAAACGTTGTATGGTAATTTGCAGCTTCCAGTCAGTTCAAGGACTCTTAGAGTAATAGCAATATTATATAATCTTCAATAAGTGGAAATGAAAGGAAAACAATGAAACAATGAAATCTATCAAGGCCATCAATATTAAATTTTTTCTACTCATTAAAAACAACATTTTCCCAAAATTTACCATTTCAAACATAAATTTTTCAAAGGTGGCCAGACTCACCTTTGAAAAATTTATGTTTGAAATGGTAAATTTTGGGAAAATGTTGTTTTTAATGAGTAGAAAAAATTTAATATTGATGGCCCTGATAGATTTCATTGTTATTGGTATGACCTATGTAGAGATTCATCTTTTTTCTCTCAGTTCAGGGTGGAGATCCAGTTATGATCTAAGGTGTTTTCATAGTATAAGCAAAACCTGAGTTAACTTTGCCATTTGTTTCCCAAAAGTAACATTAACAACAATCAAAACACACTTGAAAATCATTTTTTGTCATTAAGAGATGAGATAAATAGTGCAAACTTTATAGGATAGATGCCTTATCTTGTTATTTCACCAAGATAATGTACCTATCTACAGTACACAATAACTGCGGAATGGTTAACAGAGAACAACATTGAAACATTGAAGTGGCCAATATGTGGTCCTGATCTCAACTGAACAGAGAATATCTGTGGAGATCTTTCATGAATAGTGTATAGTGTTGGAAGGGAATAAAGTATAACAATGTCAAGAAATTCAAAACAGCCATAACCTCTCCTTGAAATAGTATTCTCTCGGAACACCTGTCAGCCCTAGAAAATTTTGTCTTTGCATTTAATATAAGTAATTGAACATAAAGGATATTATTTTGATTATTAAACAATATAATTTTTATGTTATATGTAACATTTACATTAATTTGTAAAGCTGGTCTGAAACTTATCATTTGCTTTATATATACACAAAATTTCTCAATAGTGAATTTGGAGACAAAAATTTTTAGCATTTTATATAAGAATTCTTTATAAAGAGATTGTCAAGATGTAAGTAGTTTTTTTTCGTTAAACTTAAAATGCATTTATTTAAAACCACTATGTTGATATGATTCATAGACAACACAATGTAAAATAAAATATTTTATGGTTTTTCTGTAGTGTGATGAACTATAAAAAGATACAGAACATAAAAGATGGTACACAAACACCCAAGCACCTGCTTCATTTGTGGTACTGACTCTTTCTTCACATTTTATAAATCATTAATATTTTTAAGTTAACTGGGCTTACTGAATTTTCAGAAAAATATTATTAGTAGTAATTATTTCATGTTGTTTTGACATTCCTGATGGTACTACATCATAATCAGTTGATTGAATTAGATATCACTAAATACTCTTCAGGAATATTATCACCATTATAAGCATGCTACTAATTTATATCAGCCTGCAGAAAAATATTAAATACATCTTTCATATCAAGCTTCTTCATGATCATATTTTATTCCAGTACTTTCTCTTCAGTATTATCACTATGTAACCACACATTCCTAGGAGGACTATTCCAAATTTGACGTAAGAGGTCATTGTGTGTAAGTAAGAACTTCTAGTGAGAGTATTGGCCTTGAAATTTCAGGAACTTGGGATGCAATACTCTCTAAAGAATTCTTACTTAACCTCCCTCTGTTTATTTTTATACTTACATCCCCATACTATCTTTCACATAGTCTGTGTGAAGTGTGCTGGTCAAACATCTTAGCCAAGTAATTTCTCCCTTTTCTTTTTATCTTTATAATTCTGTTTACATATCCATTTAGTACATTTTATATTTCTTCCTCTCTTTTAGTTTCCCATTTCCATTATCTCACTCATAGAACCTGATGATTATATATTCACTTATATTTTTAAAGTTATTTTAATTCCTTTTTTGTATTTTAGTGTTTATCTTTTCCTTAGTTATGTATTACCTTTAACAAACAAAACTTACTAATACACCTTATCTTGCAGCCAAAGTTTATTACTTCAAACATTTTCGATCATGTTAAATGACCTTTCTAAAGAAAAAGAAAGCAAATAAAAGATAAAACCTGTAAAAATTGAATGCTTAGTACAAATGAACAAGCTTTTCGAATTGTTTTGATCTAGCCTATAATCCGTTGCAATTGATGACGTCAGTTTTAACATTGCAACAGAAGTATAAACAATCCTAAAGATTATATAAATATCTAAAAATCATAAGTACAAGCTAGTTCAAAAACATTCGAAAAGCTTCTTCATTTGTACTAAGTGTTCGATTTTTACAGTTTTTGTCTTTTATTTGCTTTCTTTTTCTTACGAATGGTCATGTAACATGACTGAAAACATTTGAAGTAATAAACTTCGGCTGCAAGATAAGGTGTATTAGTAAGTTTTGTTTGTTATTAATAGTATGCAGTCTAGAACGAATTTATATTACCTTTATTTTTTAGATTTTACTACTCATGATTTTTGTATGTCATCCAATCACACCATATTATCACTAGCTAATTACTCTTCTTGTCTATAATCATTGTATGTATATTATTTTTTATAAATTGTCTTAATCTTAATATTTATTAATTCTGATGTATGAATTCTGTTATCAAATCAGGTCAAACTGATGAGGGGCTTGAGCCCAAAATGCATATTTGACTAAACCACAAGGCAACAAAGAAACTTCTTAATCAGTGAGTGGCTCTTTGTATGATTAGATCCCTTAAGTATGTCATAATATTTGTGTATACACTCACTTTATACATACAAGGCATATGATAATCTTTATAAACTTGAGTAACAGTAGAATTAAGATAACTTTATAAAGTTTATAAAGATTATCATATGTCTTATATGTATAAAGTGAGTGTATACACAAATATTATGACATACTTAAGGGATCTAATCATACAAAGAGCCACTCACTGATTAAGAAGTTTCTTTGTTGCCTTGTGGTTTAGTCAAATATGCATTTTGGGCTCAAGCCCCTCATCAGTTTGACCTGATTTGATAACAGAATTCATACATCAGAATTAATAAATATTAAGATTAAGACAATTTATAAAAAATAATATACATACAATGATTATAGACAAGAAGAGTAATTAGCTAGTGATAATATGGTGTGATTGGATGACATACAAAAATCATGAGTAGTAAAATCTAAAAAATAAAGGTAATATAAATTCGTTCTAGACTGCATACTATTAATAACAAACAAAACTTACTAATACACCTTATCTTGCAGCCGAAGTTTATTACTTCAAATGTTTTCAGTCATGTTACATGACCATTCGTAAGAAAAAGAAAGCAAATAAAAGACAAAAACTGTAAAAATCGAACACTTAGTACAAATGAAGAAGCTTTTCGAATGTTTTTGAACTAGCTTGTACTTATGATTTTTAGATATTTATATAATCTTTAGGATTGTTTATACTTCTGTTGCAATGTTAAAACTGACGTCATCAATTGCAACGGATTATAGGCTAGATCAAAACAATTCGAAAAGCTTGTTCATTTGTACTAAGCATTCAATTTTTACAGTTTTTATCTTTTATTTGCTTTCTTTTTCTTTAGAAAGGTCATTTAACATGATCGAAAATGTTTGAAGTAATAAACTTTGGCTGCAAGATAAGGTGTATTAGTAAGTTTTGTTTGTTAAAGGTAATACATAACTAAGGAAAAGATAAACACTAAAATACAAAAAAGGAATTAAAATAACTTTAAAAATATAAGTGAATATATAATCATCAGGTTCTATGAGTGAGATAATGGAAATGGGAAACTAAAAGATAGGAAGAAATATAAAATGTACTAAATGGATATGTAAACAGAATTATAAAGATAAAAAGAAAAGGGAGAAATTACTTGGCTAAGATGTTTGACCAGCACACTTCACACAGACTATGTGAAAGATAGTATGGGGATGTAAGTATAAAAATAAACAGAGGGAGGTTAAGTAAGAATTCTTTAGAGAGTATTGCATCCCAAGTTCCTGAAATTTCAAGGCCAATACTCTCACTAGAAGTTCTTACTTACACACAATGACCTCTTACGTCAAATTTGGAATAGTCCTCCTAGGAATGTGTGGTTACATAGTGATAATACTGAAGAGAAAGTACTGGAATAAAATATGATCATGAAGAAGCTTGATATGAAAGATGTATTTAATATTTTTCTGCAGGCTGATATAAATTAGTAGCATGCTTATAATGGTGATAATATTCCTGAAGAGTATTTAGTGATATCTAATTCAATCAACTGATTATGATGNAAAGAGAGGTGTCCGATAGGATAAAATAGTTCCAAGGCGCTTTTGAAGTTATTCGATTTGTGGATCGAAGATTAGAGAAAGTCTTGAGAGTTGAGGAAAAGGGTTCCTAGTATATTGAGGTGATGATTAAGATCTTTAATTCATAAGAATTATTGTATATAAATTAAGTCTTTGAAATTTTGTCGAATTCCAAAGGGGAATAGAATTAACTTAGAAAATAGATTGATTTGAGTTTTGTCGGGTTGATTCTTATTGACTTTCGTTGAATAAATTGTTATTTGAATTTTACTAAATTTTGTATAGTTTATTACTAGAACTTTTATTAAATATTTGATTTGTTATTGACAAACTTGGGCATTATTTAATTCGGTGCACGCTTAAAGTCCAGGCCTGGCACACTAACGCGAATCCGTGTAAAGTACCCGTTAGGGAACGCCTATTTCCAGCACACAGTCGTGTCGATAATCGTTGGAAAAATCAGAAAAATAATATAGTACTTTACATATGAAGTTTACTATTTTATAAAAATTCAAAATTAGAGAATTTCCTGTATATATGTGAATATAATAACTTAAAATAAGCCTTACCTTCCTGCTGTGACAAGTGTTGTCACTATAATTCGATACTGCATTAGAGATGTACAGGAAGGGTAAAAAATCTTCCTAGTTGTATAATCAATGTTACTACATTCCTAAAAATAATTTAAATAGTATTAAATTTTAAAGTCAAATAATAAGTTTTAAAATTTAAAAACTTCAGCACAAGGACTCACTTTAAGCTTGTCAGGAATTAGTTTCAAAGACCTAGAAGATGCATACATACGAAAAACTTGGCACAGTGGAACATGTTTTATTATCCTTTCTGTAATCAGATCAGCAGCACTATTTGCAGGTGCACAGACTAGAATCTTTGTATTTTCATCTAGTTTCCATAACTGATTTAAATTTAAAATCATATAAACATCGCTAAACCCGATATAATATAGCTAATCATCAAACTAGCCCGATGGATTTACGGCATATGTTTGGTGATTAGCTAAATTTAAAATCTTTAATAAATCAGAAAAAATAACAAACCATTTAAAAACATGTGTTTAAGCAAACCTGTTTAATAGCTTCTACAAGCGTAACTGTTTTTCCAGTTCCAGGAGGGCCAAAGAGCAAATATGGAGCAGGATATGAACTGCCAAGAACAATCTGTTCTACTGCAGTTGCTTGTTCAGGATTACTTTCTATGTCCTTATTAAAAAAACTAAAAAAAATAATTTCAAATTATAATAAAACAAAAATACTATTTGTCCTTTATAAATTGTTTAAATACATACACAAATTCTCTCACAGATCGCAACTGATACTTAGCAGCAGTTTCTGCAGTTGGAAATAATAAAGGAGAAATATCAACTAGATTATAAATTTTCAATGCACGATGCATTAATTGCAAATTATTTTTATTATATGAAAATCTGATATCAAATCTCATTCCATCCATAAATGTTTCATGTATCCTGCAAATATATTTAATAATCAAAAGTACATCAGTCATATTTACAGGTAGACTTAATTTTTAAAAACTCTTACTTTTTTGAAAATTTTAATAAAACTGTATTTTGATTTATTTCACGAACACGTCCTTCATACTCTGTAATTGGATTCTGGTCATTATTACTTGATCGTACATATATAGAATTACCTTTTACAATAGATGGTTTATTTTCCATTAAACCAGGCACCTGAAATAGCATTTAAATAAAACTGTTTTGAATCAACTTCATTTTGTTAACAATAATTTCATTTATCTACAAGTGCATTCATGTCTCAAAAAATAAACATAACCATTAATTTGGCCTATATCTCAGGTGTAACAATTAACATACAAAGCAGAATATTGTAAATTCCCTGGTCGGAGTGTATATTTTTCATTTGGATCGGGTGTTGGATCGGACTGGGTGGGCTGTTTCTGGCATGCACGGTCGTGTGGTGGGGGAGAAAACGGTGGGTTGGCGTCTAACAGCGATTGCCAGGCCAGAGACAGGGTTAGCTCTTTCAGTCAGAATTTTCAGTCGACCTGAAGAAGAACGAACGAATCGCTAAAAAACGTTTGTCAAGCGATATACAGAATATTGTATTCTTTATGCAACAAAACGTTAACAATGTAGCCCTTTGTGTATGGGTGTTACCATCCATGAAAATAAATTCATAGCACCTTAGAAAAAGCTTGCATTGGGATTCAATTGCTTCATTTCTGTGCCATCTTCTAGAAATGACATGTTTACCAAAACATTTCAGCTTAATGTAGACATTAAACATAATGCCACCCAGACCATGACATCACCACCTACAAACTGTCTCCCCTCAATGTAGATCTTGACAATAGTGATGGGCCCACCCACAGATAGATTAGAATCTCTTCTTTACCAACTCTGGGATCTGAATGCCCAACTATGTGTTTGCAGTGCATAGAGGCCCATATGATGGAAAGAGGAATATCCTGGCAGTTGAGGGATAACATACTGTCCTCAACACACTGTTTGGGGCCTTGCTTCCTATAAATGAGAGGCTCAATTCATGCTCTGAATCAATCAGCTGTTTGTTGGGTCACTTTTAACCTTAACTTTGAGTCAACTGATTGGTATAGACCAACGGTCCCCAACCTTTTTATCGCCGCGGACCGGTTAACGTTTGATAATTTTACCACGGCCCACTGAGGGGGGACGATGATTGTTTATATTTTAGATTGATTTAATTTAATAATTTTAATTTAATTGTATTTAAACATGCCTTCAAAATAAAATACAGTTAAATCACATTATATTCATTTTTTTGGTGTAACATTTTAACTCACTAGAACGCTAAATCAATGAGAACCCTGAGCTTGTTTCTTTGCAACGAGACGGTTCCATCTGAAGGTAATAGGAAACAATGACACCCGAAGTGTGTTTCTTATGTCCAGTTTATTCCGTTGTTCCGTCGTCCATTAAAAGTCGCACAAACCCGAGGAAATACACCATAATAAAATGGAAATAATTTAATGTTTCTTGGGCGGCCCAGTACCATTTGATCCACGGACCGGTACCGGTCCGCGGCCCGGGGGTTGGGGACAACTGGTATAGACCACATGTGCTCAACCCTGCATAACCCTGCTTGACAACATTGTCATGTCAGCATTTCAGTTATTCACAAGCATCTTGCTTAAATACAGCTATATGCATCAAATGTGGAACAACAGATGCCAAATGTACAGTACTGCAAATTAAAACTATGTTAATTATAAAGAGGTTCATCCTGCATATTCTCATTTGTGTCCTTACATGTATTATTATTGTCCTTTATTATAAATGTTGTATAAAATGATGTGATGATGCTGTAATGTTCCCGTTTACACGGTCTAAAAGAACACAGTACACACTTCCTTTCTAACAATAACAACACAATTACACTTTAATGTCTCAAATAAGCGAGTGACTCTCTGGCACTCCACAATCGAGTGACTCTCTGGCACTCCACAATCGAGCAACACTCCAGCACCTGACAATTATTTGATAATTACAATACTGGTTCCTGACCAGCTACACAGCTACCCACTCTGGTTAGCTCCCTGGTCAGCACTGACTTGATACACCACAAAGCAGCCCACAATTTCTCCCTCTCTAGGCGGGACAATCTCCCCCGCATTCTTAGGGATACTATTACCTCACCCACCTGACACGTGTGACAAAGCTGTGGACTGTCCATCAACACTTGCTAACATCCACACACCTGACACATGTTACAATATTGAACTTAACATCCTCCTGCCTTGAACCTTCCAAGGTTCAACAAGTTACACACTCACAAAAACAGCAATTTTTTTTTGTTACAAAACACAACTTCAGTTCTCCAAAGGTAAAACACAAATTTTAGATACACTTCGTTTAAATACACCATTTTTTTAAAATCACCATTTTTTGTTTTCACAATTAGGTGAGATTAACTCCATGTGTCCTAATGACACATATTCCTGCATAAATTGTCGGTACTGATTATAGATGTCTGGCATTGTAGCAAGTGTCCTTTCTAAACTGTAAAGTCTTCAAAGGGCAGCAACACGAGAATTTCCTAATGCCTTTCTATCGGGTTTAAAGGGTAATGCAACATAATATCGTCCAGACATTTTTCTCAAACTGAATTTCACATAACTTTTCCCCAGTATTTAATAATCGAGATGAGGGAATATTTTCAAGTTCCCAAAAGGATCTCACTACCTCATCCGTATTTACACACGAATGATTCACCACAACGCTGTTGGGCTCATGGGATTCAAAGGTCACCTTGCCTTAGATAATCCAACCCAATTTAGAACTCAATGCAAATGGACAGCCCAAACCACGTTTAATTAAATTTCCATTGATTAACGACAGAAATACTTTCACGCCATACAGGATATCTATATTCCTTGAAATATAAAGGAAGGGATCGGCCAAAATAAGATCATTAAAATCAGTGCAAATCTCTGAAAGTAATGAAACATATGGAAGCTTTACTGTGACTCTTTCTATTACAAAGGCAGAAGTAGAAGTATGCAGTTCACTTTTAAAATGTGAAGTGAATATGAATATCAATTCAACCCCTCCATTGCTCATAGTGCCTAGATATGAAACTGAAATTGTACTGTCCCTTACATTTAATCCTAATTTTGCCACACACTCTTTAGAAATAAATGATCTCTGACTTCCTGAGTCTAATAAACATCGACAATCTACCCATTCGTTGTTAGAATTTAGAACCTTAATTTGAGCAGTACATAATAGAACTTGGTTGTTTACATTCTTTCTTGACCCTCCTTCACAGTGTGAGGCACAAATTGACTTACAAATTGTCTCTTTCGTCATCTCAGGAATAGCTATACTTGAATTCATGGATGGAAGGCTGGTTTGTGGATTTGACTCTGAGTCTACCTTAGAGATGGAAATTCTTTCCCTTCCATAACACAAGAGTGAGTTGTGTCTTCTCTTGCAGTTTAAACAAGAAACATTGACAGTGCAATTTCTCACCCTGTGATTTTTCGACAAACAATTAAAACACAAACATTCCCTTTTTGCTAACTCTATTCTGTCCCGTACCTTAAGTTTCTGAAATTTAGCACATTTGTATAAAGCGTGATCTCTCTTACAACGGGGTGTAAAGCTAGTTCGTCTCCTCGTGGTGCACCCTGGATAACATCTATTCGTGAACTAAATGAGCTAGCAACTTTTGGCATCCAAATAATCCATAGGATCTCCTGGACAATACACATCTTTTTCTTTAACTGTTTAAACTACTTATGTCTTCTCATTACAAAGACCCTTCTAAGGGTCATAGTACCAAAGATCTTGGTCCTCAATTTAAGATATGTCAGATTAATATTGAAGGCATTAGTCGAGCAAAATGCCAATACTTACATAGAATCCTAAAGGATAACGAAATTGACATAGTTGTAATTCAAGAGACTCATACTGAGAATGAATACCAACTTCAGAAAAGAGGTGTGATTCCTGGTTTTGAACTAATTGGTTCAACCTACCACAAAACATACGGCACTGCAACATATGCCCGTAGTGACATTGAGGATGTTCTGTTTTGTAAGGCAGCCACTGACGATAACATTCATGTGGTTACTATACAGGTTGGACAAATTACAATCAGCAATATTTATAAATCTCCAGCTATAACTTGGCCACAACACGTCTTACCACATTTACCCCATCCTGCTGTCTACTTGGGAGACTTCAACAGCCACCATGAATGCTGGAAATACCGTGACACTGATAAAAATGGTGACATGGTATTTAAATGGGCAGAGGAAAATAATCTTTATCTTCTGTTTGATGCTAAAGATCGATGCACCTTTAGGTCCAGCGCTTGGGGTTGTGAATATAATCCTGACTTGTGCTTTGTGTCTTCAGATAACAATAGACAACCGTTATCAGCTACACGAACAGTTTTAAATCAGTTCCCGCATAGCCAGCACTGCCCAATAATTATTGGAATTGGACTTAGTATTCCTATAGTAAATAGTATACCACGCCCAAGATGGAATTTTAACAAGGCTAACTGGACTTTGTTCTCAGAAGATCTTGACAAATGTTTGGGATGGATCCCACCTACATCCAACAATTATAAAAGGTTTGTTGGAGCACTGTTTAGCGTAGCCAAGAAATGTATACCTAGAGGATATCGCAAGATTTATATCCCAGGATGGAGTGAAAAAAGTGAATCACTATATAGGAAGTTCCTGGAATCTGGTGATCTTGAATTAGGGGATGAACTACTTCATAGCTTAGATGATGCCAGGCGCCTTAGATGGATAAACACTGTACAAAATTTGGATTTTACAAAGTCAAGTAGGAAGGCATGGTCCTTGCTTAGAAGATTGGGAGGAGCAACTGTCAAATCAGGTAGAGAAATCTTGATTACTCCAAATAGTATTGCAGAACATATACTAAACATATCTAGAGCTCCTAGAGATCGTGAATTCACAATTAAGATTAAAAAAGAACTTACGTCCATTAAAGCTAAATGTTTAAATGATACAGCGTACTCTCTACCTTTTGATACTGAAGAAATCTATGCTGCCCTTAAACAAATAAAAGCTGGTAAAGCCCCTGGAAATGATGGTGTCCATCCTGAATTCCTGTTACACAGCGGCAAGTATACTAAGCAATGGCTGGCTCGCTTCTTTACTGACATCTTACAGAAAGGTGAAATTCCTTTC